TTGTAACATAAGAGAGAGAAAATAAGTAAGTAAATGGAATAAGTTTTAAGTGCTTTTAGTGAGTAAAAGGTCTTAGATGCCTGAGAAGTAGTACATGTTCTAGTAAAGGTTTAAAAACATGCTAGTGTTTTCTTAGAGGCTCCAAGAACTTAGCTTTAGACATAATAGAGTTAGAGTTAAGAATATTGCTGACATTTTTCAGTTAGAACAAGATAAGCCATGAACGTAGTCTATACGTAGCCTGGCATGCTAAGAAACCAGAATTCTAATAGGTTAAGAAGTAGTGGTCTGAGTCTGTGTCTTAGATAGTTGGAAAGTTTCTATAAAAAAACGTGCATCAGGGAGAGTGGGGGCTCTATGCCGGGGCTCTATGCCGTGGCTTTATGCCATGTGCATTTTGCCACTGCATTTTGCCACTGCATTTTGCCACTGCAGCTTTGCCATTGCTTTAGCCATTGCTTTAGCCATTGCTTTAGCCATTGCTTTGCCTTGCTTTGTATTTGTTTTTGAGACTGATGTGCTTCTGCAATAAATAACTTTATAGCAATTATTAGCCGCTTTGCTTTTTACACAGATGAAGAAGTAGCCCGACAGTGTGGGTGCACAGGAGGCACCCGGAGGTCCTTCTGAAACCTCACAGCTGGGGAGTGAGAGGAGACAGATCAAGGGTGGTTCTGGATCATCTGTTTTTTCTCAGATTTTTCCAATCCTGGCACTGCTTTGAAGTGCCAACCTACAGGTGGGACCACACCTGACATCTCCTAAGCCTCTGCTCTGGGCTGGAGCCCTGCAGGGCAGCTCTATCAGGAACAATTCCTTTTCCCATTGCACGAGTCTCCTTTGGTGTGGAAAAGAAAGAAAGGAAGGAGAATTCCTGTGTTCCCCTCTCTCAGGGCTGCAGAAGTGCTCAAACTTCCCTCCTGCTGCTCCCACAGACAGGAACGCTGCCCTAGGGACTCGCTGCTCTTGGGCATTGGGCAAGGGAGGGGGAGACACTTGGTTGTCCTTGTGGACAGAAGAAATGGGTGACCATCCCATCCCAAACACTCATGTGGGATTTGTCATCCTTCCGTGATTGTTATTTGGTTTTGGAAAGCAGAGGGGAGGAGGAGAGGCCCAAGAAAGGAACAATCCTTCAGTGACCCTGCCAGGAGGGGCAGTGAGGGGGGTCGGGCTCTGCT